TGACTCTCTGTTCCTCGCTCTTGAAGACGCAGTTTTCGCTACATGCGCGGTTTCGTCGCCCCAAAAATGCACAAGTCAAACGCAGCGTATTCGTTCCCTTATCTGCTGTGCTCACTCGAATTGTGTCGAGAGAGTTCTTTTCATGCACACGGACTTGACCGAGACGCTCGAGTGTTCGACGACGTGACTCCAGAACTCGCTCGACCTGTTTCCAATCGACAGCTGTCTTCCCGGACCGGCTCATTGTGATCCCCGGCGGTCGCCCGGAGGAAAGAATCTTGTCGGTGTCGACGTCTTACCCGGTCGGTTAGCTTGCTCCTAGGGACATCGATCACCGCAGCGTCGCTTCCCAAGTGAAGGGGCAAACAATGCACTTCTTCTTCTTTTTTCTTCATTCGCAGCTGAAACGCAACCCCATCGAGGAACGGCCGCGACTCCATCTGTTCGACATCGGGACGATTCCCTCGTTCGAGATTCGGTTGAGAGCGGAGTTGTGGATCGCTGAAGAGTTCTTTGTGAGCCTGGAAAGGATCTGAACGAGTTCTCGAGCTACAGCTGGGGTTCCGCTCTTGACGTTTTTTATTCCTGGAGAATCGAATGACCGATCCTGTTCCCCATTCAGGTGATCCGCGCTTCTCTTTGAGTCGTCGTCGGTTCGCGGTACGGCGAGAGCTTAGGGGCATCCGATACTCTGACGCGTCGCCCGCGGCCAGCATTCTGTATTCAGAATTCGTTCCGTGGCTCTATCTGCGTTTTTCCCCAACCACAAAACGCACGGCAGTAGGACTACAGCGCCGGCGCGGTGCTGGGGAACTGGCGGAGTCTCAGGGGAACGGAGTCCTGCTCCCAGTGCGCGTTATCATCTGAATGCATCGACGTCATGGCTTGATGTCCTGACTACACGAGAACGCACGTCTTCGAGAATTCGACTGCGACCTGCTTCTCTTCCCGAGGCTGCTTCGTGTTGCATTCGATAGACGATTCCCGCAGCGACCGATGATTCCGGAGCCAAGGTACGGAAAACAGCATCAGAAAAATCGAGGAGAACGTCGCGTCGTCGGTTCACGTGTACACCCCGAACACTAGCCGTGTCGATTCGTCATTGCTTCCCGTAGTGCGACAGAGCGGCCGACACCTCGCGAAAGCGCGGGGTCTGGCCTTGAAAAGTCGCCGATGGTACGAAATCGATGCATCGATCCCTCGATAGTCTATAATAATCCCGTCTGGGATGAGAATCGGGTCGATGGATTCCAGGATATCGGGACGTTTCGGGGACCGCTTCGCGATAGTGGATTGGGTCGAGAGTGATCCGCCGAGTCTTCCGGAGAATCCGGAGCTGTGCTGTGACCCTTTCCGTTCTTTTCTGCGAGATTGTCGCGAACATCGTGCTCGACCAATAAACATTGTATCTAACGGCTCGATGATGTCTCTCGATCGCTGGATATCAGATACGAATGATCAATAGCACGATATCCGCCTAGTCGAGAGAGCCACACCTCGGGCACATCGAACGCTATGTTGATGGAGTCAAGATCGCGCTCAAGGTGCTCCTAATAGTCCCTAGCGCTCGGTGGATAACTAACCGCAGGATACGGACCGACTAGGAGTGGCAGCACAAGGACCAAGGATAACGGGTAGAGCACTTCATAAACCACACCCTGGTCGGTCGGTCGGTTGCCCGCTCGGCCAGGGCTTCCTCCATGGCTGGCTGGCTGGCTGGCTGGCTGGCTGGCTGGCTGGCTGGCTGGCTGGCTGGCTGGCTGGCTGGCTGGCTGGCTGGCTGGCTGGCAAGCGAGCAAGCAGATGGATGGAGGTAGGTTTAGACCGAGCGGCGAACGAATGGACGACTTGTCGAGGGAGGAGCACATCAAGTAATCGTCCCATCTACGCGACACTGGGACCGAGCAGAGGCGATCCAAACATCAACTCCCACGAATATCCACCGCTTCCTTGCACGACGCTGCCTTCAGTTCAGCGGTTTTTGAGTTTGTCAGAGCGATGTCCGACTTGCAGGACGACGACCGCAGCCGCCACCACCGGACACGGATTCCAGGTATTCTCCTCGGGAGGAGCATAGAGCTGATAGAAAGACTGAGAGATCCGACGCTGATACGCTCAGCGTTTCGTGCAGAACATCCGCAATCTCATGACCGGGAGCGGTCGGGATCGATTGTTGAGCCACAACTGTGGTCCGAGGCAACTGTTCGACGTGTCGAATAGGATTACGGACTCAACAGCTCCTTTGTCCACGAGGCGTATTAGTTCCCACAGGTTTATTAACCTCACTCTGCGAATTTCTCCGGAGCTCCGCGTGTTGAAGTGCTCGAACGTTCTATCCGGATGTTCTCTGAGGGAGCAGGGAGTGATTACGAATAGCTTCGACCTCTCGAATAGACGCCTCCCCCCCTTCCCGGATGATAGCTGGGATCGATATGAGTTTCTGAGCGACGAGCGATTCTAGACAGACTCTCGGATTCCTAGTGCGACATTTGGCATGAATCGACCTCTGACGCGAAGAACTTGCGGTTGGAGGACCTTCCTGGAACTGTGGCCTTAGCGGAGCGTTGCGGGTTTCGCAATCGGAGCAGTTGCGTTGCGTAAGTCGGGACCGAGTCCTCTGCGAATTCGGATGTCTGCTTATTAGCTCAGCAGTTTTTAAGTAGCTCCTACCGCAGGCGAATCGCGTGGCTGTTCATCCTTGTCTCTGTCGAGTTAATCGGGTGGCGCAAATTCGCGGGACTTTCACGCTGCTTGTTGATTTTGAGTCTGCGCGTGGCATTAATGCACAAAGTTCTTAGGCATATCTCTTGAAAGAAGAGCTCACGACGGCAGCACCATGAAGCCGGCCTCTATACAGCGAATGTGAAAGTTGTATCTTCTCTTTTCCAGGTAATGGAAGAGGATGAGATACATCTCCGAAACAGGGGATCTCCATGGGACTGCCCGGCGGATTCTCGAGTTCGTTGAATCTTCCTGATAGCCCTGTGACGTTATAAATGTTCCCCCCACCCCGAAAATTCTCGCTCTGACGATTCAACATGCTTGAAGCACGGGATCCCGCTTCCAGTCAGTCAGATAATGTCAATTAGACGGGGTCTCGACAATCTCTCTGATTTCTAAATCGGGCAGTCTCGATTTCCGATGTCAGTCGCGGATTGGGAGCGAAGACGCAAACTCTTTAATCTATTTGAATAACAAATATATTTATTTACATTTTTCTGTCTGTTGCTTGGTTTGATTTCGCTGTCCAACTTCGTACCTCCTTTATATGGCTTGCTCCATTTCATGATGAGTCGTTAATAGTCCCAACATTCGAACGAGGTAATTGACGAGTGAAAACGTGAACTCGTAATTCACCCACCAAGCATCCATTGACTGAACAAGCAAGCTCCGAAGCAAGAGGTTCATTGTACCGTAAAATAAACTCACGCTCGATTTGTACAGAAGGTGGCGATACAGTATTCAGGTTCCCGATTAAATTTTGGAGAAAGTCCTCAAGGAACAGCACTCGTACATCGGCGATGAAATTAGGAGGACTGCGGTACTAGGGAGAAAGTTTTCCTGAGCCGAAGAGGAGATATGTGATCGCCTCACGCGCATTCGGAACAGATACAAAACTATTATTAACAGGTGAGGGTGATGTAGCTGACTTTCCTTCATTACGAAGGAATCTGTCAGATTTCGGTGCTCTCTCCGGAGCAATTAAGCCGGGAATGCCCGATGCGAGAATGGTGGAGTGCTAGAGAATCTTCAGCTTTGAGAAGTATGACCGGACCTGCTTGCTGACGGAATTCCGAGAAAGTACCAAAGAAGCACCCCCGAAGTAGCCTCGGCATTCGTCTTTCTCAGAAGAAGCATGATTGGCAATAAAATATATACGTAGCTTGAAAAGAAGAAACGCTACTTTGGTTGACAGCAGGCCACAGAAATGCCAGACTCGAATCAATGATACGAGGTTCCTCGATTCGATTATCGAAGCCCTGAGGATCGAAAAACTCATTGTCTCCCTCCTACTTTCTATCGCGCTCTCTGTTTCGCCAACGCTATCGAAGTTTGTGTCTCGCTCTCGAATACTTTCGTTCGTTTGTCATCTTCACGGGGATATGTGGCAGATTAGGGAGCTCTATCTCGTCGTCTCGCAGAGGGATCTGGATCCCCAAGAGGAAGTTTGTAGCCGATTAGAGGGCTCCATTCTTTAGTTTGGATTTTCTCGACGCGACGTCGACTCGTTTGGAGGCTTATATTGTTCTACGGTTCTACGAAACCGCTAGTTCCGTAAACGGGCTCTCGTCATATTCTTCTGATGTGTGTTCTCGATACGAGTTCCCTGATGGTTGCCCTCGCAGCGCTCAGTTTCTCAATTGATTATTCTTTCGCGCTCTCTGCCCTTCGCGCGATTTCCTATAAATAAATTACGATATGACTCAGCAGGTCGATGTGAATAGCGTCGAAGCTGTCAGATCTGCCTGCCCCACGGTTCCGCGCATACTTGTAAAATTCACGCTCCCTTATTTACACGCTCTGTGCATTCATCAGATACAGTGAGCCAATGAGCCGGTGCCGACTTCGTTCGCTGGTCAAAGATGCAGCGGATGATCGGTCACCCATCCGTTCTTTCCGGACAATCGCCGATGTAGCTCTGAGTCAATTTCGCTACCTGACACCTGCGGCCTGCATCTCAGAAGAACCGCGGAGACGGAAAAAATTGAAAGTCCTCCTTGGGATATCGAGTGTGGCCAAAGGCTGGTCCATTGCTTCGAATATCTCACGCAAACGAGGAACACAGGTGGGGATCCTCCGAGCTCAAGGACGCTCTGGAAACGGTTTACTTTGCGTCAAGTAACAACGTGATGCCGCTCGCACCTTGCCCGGAAGATTCGACGGCACACGAAGGACGTGATGCTGCTACGGAACAGCTGACTAGTGAAGGTGATGGTGGCGGCGGCGGCAGCGGCGGCGGCAGCGACTGCTAGGTAGGTATGTAGGTACGTATTTACTCCTCAGTAGGGCATGAAGCGCACAGAATTTTTGTAGAGTGCGCTCTGCTGCAGCGTGCGCGATTGTTGAATACGTCGGATAATTTCCGCCTGCTGAGAAAGACTTTCTGAAGGTCCGGCCGCACATGACGCCGACGAAGAAGCTGCGACGCCCGCGGAGGCTCCATTTGCGGCGGCGTTTCCCGCAACGAGTTGCTGCAACGAGTTCAAAAGAAAAGCTTTCGTGAGCGAGTGAATGAATGACTTCCATACACCAGCCATGCACGGAGCGCGGCGGGCTTCCTTCATCTAGCGGCGGCTAATCTCGAGGAAGCAGCACAGAAATGAACTCACCGAATAGCCCGGCGACAATGCGGACAATCCATTGGCACTTGCTGTGGTGAGATATGGGTCAAGACCTCCGTAGACCGCCGGAGCTTGAGCCGTGGCCTGAGCCACAGCCGCATAATACATTGCGGCGGGATTTCCCGCCATTGGGCCCTGCGTATAAGCTCCCAACTGCGCGGCAGGCTGAGCGGCGCACGCCAATTGCGCCGCCGCGTATTGGCGCGCGGCTGAAACCCCGTAGGCGGCCGAGGCTGCATACGATGCCTGGAGGGACAAAGCGAATTGAGCGGGATAATTTCTCACAGGAAAAAATACGTGAACCTGCTGCACGGTTTTCCCCCACGATCGCAACTCACCGGCAGAGCGCCTTGTGCGACGAGGGCAGCGTTGGCCGCGTACGTCGCGAGCAACGGGTCTTGGTACACGGCAGACAACGCAGCCAGTGGCGAAGCCGCGAGGCGGTTGGCCGCTGAAGCCAACGCTAAGGAAGACGGAGTTCCTTGTCCCGCGATGGACACCACCGGTGACAACCTCCGTCCCGTCAACACGGCGGCGTTTCCCGTCGCCGCGAGGTTCGTTCCGCCTTGCGCTGCGGCTGCAGCTGCCGCAGCTACTGCGGCCGCCGCTGTAAAGACATTTCCGTTGTTTCAATTCAGTCGACGAAGAAAGCGAACACGATCAGGAGGGATCTTGTTTACGACCGGAAGGAACGAATAGATGCGGAGGAACGAAGATACGAGTTCGGATGCGAGAAATTCAGAGGAAACGATAGGAGTGGAGTAGGCGACAGGCGGAGGGTCCTACGATATCTGTGAGCGGGGCAAGGATTTTCGCGAACTTTCTAGATACATATTTGAAAACACGCCGACTCCATCGGGAGCCTCTGCTTAAATCGAAGGGCCATCGGTTTGAGGGGTCGAGTGGTTCGAGTGGGTTTCGGGAAGGAAGCACTCGCGAGCTCGACAAGATGCGAGACAACGTAGGAGAACGACGGGGAATATTTTCATTCAGGGTGATGCCATTTCGTTGGATACTAACTGGAGGCAGCGAGTGAGGCGGCTCGTTTCGTGTGCACTCGTGCAGTTGCGTTGTTCACCTGAGGGATTTTGAAACAAACTGATTAGAAGTCAATTAGTCGTCGGACTCGTCTCGACGATTCCCAATGCCTACTAGGTTCACGGTGCTTCAATCGATGGAGTCGGTCATGGAGAATGAACGAGATCTTCTAGTCTCTGATGTTTTCATTATGCTTATTTATGCCGTTGCATATTTTCGAGAATTTCCGAGGCGGACAGACAATCAAAGGGAGCTGGGGCACCCTCCGATTGCGCAACTCGACTCAATTCGACTTCTGCCGACTAAATAATATATGACATGGGCACGGTAAGGGCACCGAGGAATAGCTTCATATCACTCATATTTTATGCTCAAGGTACGGAGAAGGGAATACTCGGAATATTCCTCTCGGCTCGATTCCCGGGAACGAGAGCCAAGCTCTCGGGGAAGCATTCAGAGTACGGTGATAGCTAGGACCATGCAGAACAGCATCCGATACGGAACGCTGCGAACGGTCATGTTCGATCTCTAAAGTTCAAATTTCGAAGGGCACCAAAACTATCAGATCAAGTCACACTAGAACGGAAACCACTCGTCTCCCTCCAGGGGAGCGTGCAGAACATCAGCCGGAAACGGAGGACTTCAGTCTCAAAGAGTCCTAATTACGACGACAGTGCGTTGTGGTTAATTATTCGCAATGTATCAATAATGACAAAAACAGCGGCGAGCTCCGGAGGAATACTGACTGTCAAAAATTAACGAGCTTGTTCGAGGGAAACGCTAATTCCTGCGGGTCTGGTTCGCGTCCGGTTCCGATCGACATCGATACATTGTTCTAATTGAAATTATTCGATTCAGAACTCTCGGAGAATCCGAGGACAAGTCATCGATGCCGAACGGGATGAGACCGAGACAGACGGCTGGATTGGAGGTCGTTGACAGTTCGGAGGCTTTTGTTCTTCTACTGGTTAGAGACAGGTTCTCGACGGGGAGAGGCAGAAATGTTTGGCGGGTCTATTCCTGGTTTTGATTGGCACTCCTTCGTCTCGTTTTTGACATGATCTTTTTGGACAAAACTCCCTTCTTGCTGATTCAATCTTGTCGGATATGTCCCGTTTCCTCCCGAGGCCACAGGTCAAACTGTGACGAGAAGTGACTGTGAGTTAGGGTCCAGCGGGTGTTCAGGTTCGGATGGTGTCGGGCCGTGATCTTGGTAAAATTGAGTTTTCCCTCCGATTATCCTGCCCGCTTCTTCCAGGAGTTTGTCAAGCCGACGTTTTTCCCTTCCGGAAGCAGAGCGAACCAAACTTTTGTTGATTGAACAAGCGATCTATCGAGAGGGCGACACGCTTTAGGAGTCTCTGGAGTCGACCATGGCGACGATTACGGAACACTTGCCGGTGGAGCTCTCGAGACCTTTGACGTGCTGTGCACTTAAATCTTCACGACGTATTTATCCTTCGTTGCATCATACGTACGCAACGACGCGACGTCGACAACGATCTGGGCTCCCATGATCATCCTTCATAGAGAAATTTATTGTGTAAACGGCAACATCAACGACGACCACATACCACATATGATAGATAGCGACAACGCCTTGCTGGCCGTCCTCAGTCAGTGAGACGATGCAATGCTTACACAAGATTCAAATTTCATTCTGCTGTCTTGCGCAACAACTACTTCCTCTCGGTCCAGATGAATCGTGGATGTATCGTTTCAGCTAGGAAGGGTCCTCCAGGACAAGAGATTGACAGTAGAAAAGAGAGAGGGGGAGCGAAAACCTCAAATGTCCGCCAAGACGATCTAGAGCAGCAGCAGAAGCAGCGGTATGAGAATAGCCGCACCAGCAACACGACCAGCTTTTGCATGATCATTGAACTTACGCTCGCAAGATTGCTTGTCATTTCTCAGCGATTTCATTGGATTCGTCGATTCGTCGAGTCCTTTTTGATCAAAAGAAATTCGCTGGCCTGTAAGTTGAGCATCTCGCGAATTTGAGCCGTAGTGATATAAATTCGAGTTTCGCAGATCTCCTCCTCGCGGTAATCGTAGACTGGTCACGTCGTTTTTCATGGCAATAAGTTCTTTCCCTGCTCATAATTTTCCCTGTCGTCCCCGAGCCGACAGATTCATCGAACCGATGATTGATTCTTCCGACAAGCCTTCCCGGCCGCAAGACAGTCACTTCGTCCGGCCGTCTGTCTTCCTTATTTTTTCTTCGTCCCTCCAGTCATTTCCGACTGATTGTGAGATTAGCACACGGAAGGAAAGGTTCGTTCGGTGCGGACGTCGCAGTACAAAACTAATGAGCCAAAAAAAAGGTCTATCGGCATACCGAGCTCAACTCACCTCGATCGTGCGGCCCTCGACGACGACTCCGTTGAGGTTGTCGCGAGCGTTGTCAGCATCCGATCCGACTGCGAAAGTGACGAAGCCGAATCCCTGCAAGTGATTCGATCGAGGAATTCTTATATTTGCCCTCGGATGGAGGAAAAGCGATCGTTCCTTGTGCGCGGAACAATCGATTGACTCCATTCCGGAGATGAACGTGCGGAGGCCGCAACGATGCGTATGGCAGACGTGCGGAGCAGAAGCGAGGCTCATATCCGGAACTCACCTTCGATCCTCGCTCATTGAATATGATCTCGACGTCAAGGATACACCCATAATCGCCGAAGAGATGGCGGAGGTCGGGTTCTCGGAAACGGAATGGTATGTTTGACACATGTAGACGTTTCGGCCCGTTGAGAGCTTCCAACGTGGCTTCGGTTAGCTGTTGGTTGACTTTGATTTCCTCTTCGGTGGGACCTTCGTCCGCCGAATTGCTTTTCGTGATGGGAGGTGGCGAGTGGTCGTCTGACGTTGCCTGCAAGGGGGTGGATGATAATTACGTCCCGAGAATCATGCTCACTCGGCAGCATTTCACTTCTAAGCTCATGGCCTAGCTATCAGAGAGTTCCGCTCACCGAGCGCAGAACGCTTTTCCGCGCCGCTCTAAGGGAGCGCAGCCCTCCCCAGAGAGGGAGAAGGGGGGGCGGAGGGGTTTCGCGAGGTTTTCGGGCAAGTGTCCCTTGAGAGAGGTTCAATAACTGCACTCGCAGGCATTCGCTCTCACGAATCGTCCACGGCAGCGAAACCACTTTGATTCTCGTGCGTCACCTCAGGCCTATCAGATTCTGACAAAAAAATAATAATTCGGATTCTTGGCTCATCCGCCGAGTTCCCAAACCTCGTGGGATCCTTTCAATCATCTCGGTCCCGCTAACATCCTTTTAGCGATGTATGTACCCACATTCTCGGCGGAATATATTCGAGCAAACCTTATTAGAAGACTCTACAAGCCAAAGACGGGGAGGCCCCGGAGCAGTTTACTACCAATGAGCCCTACGTCGAGAACGAAACACGGAGGGATTCTGGCCGGGGTCAAATAATTTCCGAGGAATCCGCCGCTATCGTACTCGAAGCTTGAGGAACTCCGACATATTCCATTCGCGAGAGTCATCAGGCAGCGTTGCCGGCCGATGCCAACGTCGGCAAAGGCTCACTGACTCATTATTGGACATCCGTGTCGGAGAACAAATAATAGTACCAAAGAGTAGGCTCCGGCATTAAACACCGGATAACGTTCGTCAATTAGGGCGCGAAAACTTCGTCGCTGTCAATTGGGAGCTCGCTCTATCGGCCGGTCGGTCGGTCTGCCCGTCCGACCGTAACTCGCTCGCGGACACATTGGAGGCCATTAAAATTATCACCACTACCGCCTAGTGCTGATCAGTCGATTCTAACATGTCAGATCCAACGTATCATCCTCCGTCACTCGACCGGAATCCTCATGTCCCCGACTCCCATCATGAGTGCGAATATCCCGGAACTTCCTGATCAGCCTGATTTATTCTGTCAGGAAACTCAGGAGGAAATGCCTCCGTCTTTTTCCCTTTGAGATAGGGACAGCTCATTAGACTGTGTTGGTCGACCTTGCCACCGCAAAAGGGGAACCACCCGACGCCGACGGGATATCGAAGTGAACTTTCTGGGAGCGACGTACTATGGAAATGAGTCGATCGTCTGAATGCAGCACGCGATGTTAAAAAAGCATCTACGGCATCCAGACGACGTGGGCGATTCTCGTCAGAATTCCTCGCGAACTCGTCTACCTGAAGCTCAAGCATCGGTTGGATCAGTGAATGGCAGCAGTAGGAGGCATTGGAAAATTCGTGGAAAGAATCGCCATGCTAGAGCCCGTATAACACACAGGCAAGTTCTTTCGCCGGGTGATATGCAAATTCCGTGGGATCGCCGAACATTTCTTGCCGCTTTCCGAACCTGATATCGCTCCCTCTCGGTTCCCATGGTTGCGGTTTGTGGAACTACCGGAATCCGCTGTTCGAATGAGTCCGAGACGGTGGGCAGCGGGTGAATGAAGACTACGCGCTTCTTCGGCATTGTTTCCAATCGAGTTATCCATCATTTCCGGCCGATTCTTGCCACGCCAGTGGACCCTGCGAAGATGGAGGGTGTCCGCCGAACGGAGTCCTTAACTCATTCGGCAGAGCGTGTTCACTGGGACGCTCCGGAAATTTTCACTTTCCTCTTCATATGATTTCCTCCGCGATATCAGTTTCAGATCAGAAACAGCAAACGAGCCAAACAGGATGATGGCTTGGGGACAACATCGAGCGCTGCCGCTCGAGATGGATAGATAGAGAGCAGCGGATAAGAAAGGAGGCAACAGGTAAGCACACCACCAGACCTGACTCGCGGCCCGCCAGGAGGCTCACGGCGGCGAGGCAAAACCACTAACAGAGGGCCTGAGAAGAAGCCGCATCGGTCGCCAGACAATAGAAGACAGTGGCCTCCCTCTTTTTCCCGCGGACCATCTCACACTCATGGACACGCACAGCGATGTTGCTCTCTTGGTCGCTCGCTTCCTCGGCCGACCGAGCGGCTGCTTGCTTGCTGGTTTGCTGCTTGCTTTGCTGGTTAAGCTTAATGGTCGGGTAAGCGACTGGACCGCTGGGAACAAGGTCGATCGACGGACAACTCCTCGGCTAACCGCGGGAGAATCGGAGGATTCCTCAACCGAGCTCTCGAGGACCTCACCCCGCGAGGCTCCGTCGGGAGCGGTGTGTGGAACCTATCCCATGTCTGGAACAAAACGTGCGAGGTATTGCTAAGACCGATCCATTTCGATCGGTTGATGCGAGATTACCGAACACTGGGGTGTCATTCGAGCTACTCCGGAGCGGGCCACGGGCGGGGAAATCAATTCAAACGCGTTGAATAGCGTTGCTGATCCAAGCGGGACTGACGTTGCGTGTAACAACTCGCACGCGCTTTCCATGCGCACTCGCATGCTCCACACAGGCCCGCTGTACCCTCCGTTCGTTGTACGGGACGTGGCGCATCACGCTATTCAGTTTTCCCGCCGCGCGTCACAGGCAGCCTAAATATGTATGTAGTGAGCGTTCATCGCAACTTCAGAAACGAGGAGCTCCCCACAACCATCACGCTAATGGGATTTGTGATAGGCGGAGCCACGGGACAGCGGAGCTCATCCATCTACCTAGCTCGGATCCGCCAGGCTCTCAATTGTTGCGTTTCTCCAAATGATGCTCGGTAGAGAGATATATTATTTTAGATACGCGGGAAGAGAGTGGAGCAGTCGTGCGGCGAGGAGATTAGTCTTTGTTTTTAAGAATCCATTCTGAGCCCCGAGAGCATGCGACCTCCAGTGATTGTGCGAGGAGCATGACGCGGAGCAACCAATCAGCCTCAAGTTGTCCATAAATAATCCTAAATCCTGACCAATCAACGTATTATTTGGCCGTAGCGGAATATGGATGGATGCTAGCCGTAATTGATCCTTCCTCGGGATCCTTTGCCAGAGTCGACCATTTGCACGTCGAAAAAAAATTTGTCCGCGATCCGCTTTTCCAATGGTTCTTCAATCACAGGGTACGTGCTGGTCTCGGCTCGAGCCGCGAAGAGAATTCGATGAAATGCCTCCCGCTCTCATTCGAAATCAAAGACTCGCTCCGAAATTCTTCCGAACGGCGCGTCGCGTCGGCCGCATTTCATCGAGTGTATCATCAAGCCCGGATGTCTCTTCTTCAGATCCCGACCCTTCCCGTAGCACGGTGATTTCCCGACGATTTATCTCGCCAGATTCAGGCGGGGTTCAAACTCGAAATCGTCGTTTTTCTAACCCCTTTTTAAAGCAGAGTGTGTAAGCGAGATTTTCGACTGTGAGAGCGCATCACTCGACAGGCTCTTTTAACGAGGTCAGTCAGAGTGTCCTCGAACGTGACGACAGGTGCAATCAGGCGAACACGCATGTATTCGGTTTCATTTCAAGGACCATTTAGCCTCACGACTCGAAGAGCTCACGATTTGTGGCCTTGACCCCTAAACGATGGTCTCTGGAAAAGTAGAGAAGATTTTCCACAAGAATCTCCCCAGAGGGTTTGTGGGGTTGACAGTAGAGATTCCCTCAGCGAATGGAGGGAATGCTTCTCTCCGCAATCGGGCCGCCCAGCGAGGAAAGTGAAACACTCTACTCGCGAGCACAATAAATGGAAAGAGTGAGTCGTGTCGGGCGAATTTAGGCGGCACGCTGTTAATACAGTGCGGAATGTCGCTGGCTGCTCGGTGACACGCAACGTCTCATTCATCGTGACATTTCGCGGATTTAATGTCGTCGTTTGCCGTCGCGACGACGATCTCGGTCGCGGTCGCGAAATGCAGTTCCGTAATAAATTAATTCCTGTCAAGAGAACGGCGTGGAGTTCGGCCGAAGAGAAACGCGCCAAGGGACAGTTCCCTTTTACTTCTCCGTCTGTCGTCGTCCGTCTCTTCGCGAGATTGAAGTCCCGCAGTCAGTTGGTCGACGTGTGAGCGGATAGATCTCCGATCCCCGAAAGACTCGGTGGCTGGGACGGGTGGATGGCTTTGGGAAGTCGGGCCTCACTCCGTGTCCCGCATACAAATGGCTTCACTAACAACCAACTTTTTGATAATACAGAAACACTCCGTACTTTGAGGCTTCCGCGCTCCTCTCCACGAAGCCCTACAACGAGAACCTCGAAGACTCGAGCGGGAGTCGTCGATGACGTTTCGAATAATACGAGGCCCCCGGAGCGGAGATGGGCGAGCCGGAATCATTGCTCCCCATGCTCTCGATCGGAGGATAGACGTTCTCGAGACGAGAACCGAGTCGTTCGTGACCGAGGAAGGTGCTCGAACGAAAACAAAGGAACCATTCGATACACATCATGTTTTCCTAGGATAGCGGAAACGACAATCCGCGCAGGAAACAAGATAGACCGAGGCTTTCGATGGGGAAAGCGACGACTTCCGGGCTTGAAGCCGTGCGCCATCCACGTCGTGTTGAAGGGGGTTGGGGGGCGGGGGACCGGGGCCCAGCAAGGTAATTAGAGGAAGCAATAGAGGAGACAGAATCTACTAACCGATGGCACGATAGAAAGCGAACGGAGAGGAACCCATGAAGAGACGGACGGACGGAACGGCCCGAAGCGTCCTCCGGCTCGCCGGAATCAACTTCCGCCGTCGCGCGGCCGAACAAGCGAAGCAGGGAAGACATCATTTGTCATTGCGCCAACCACCGAATACGCAAATGAAGATGTCGTTGTGCAAAGTTCCAAGGACAGGCAGGGAAACCGCGGTGGATCGTCCGACTTTCTGCTTCCTTTGTGTGTTCGACCGGAGCTCTTTCCATTTGCATCGTAATTGGAGCACGTAGTGATTAATTTGCGCTCGTTAAACGCGGTTCGAGACTCAGATCGAGCCCGAGTCGGACTGGATTAAGACTCTCTTAGTCACTGTAGGAGAATGGTCCTTCTTGACTCGGCTGCTCCGACGCGTGAGCTTTTCATCTTTAGCTACCCACCCTATTTTTGTTGTCGACTAGTTCAGAGTGTCTCAATCGTCTCTTTTTTTCTCTTTCGATGGCTGCATCGCCCACGTGGGCCGCGAAAATGTTTAATGTCCGTTTGGGACCCATGAAGAGAAGATACATCTTGATGGATTGAGGCACTTTCGCGGAACGACATTTTTCATGTTCTGTCGCAGCTGCCTGACAACTCAGAGCTGCGCTCGGTCCGCTTCTCTCACAACCGATCTGAAGCCTCGTGGAGAATGTCGCGGCTCCCGTAAGGGCAGATCACACGAGCGCTTTGTCGAATTTTGTTGTTAAATTCTGATTGAGATAACTTTTGCGAACTCCATACTTGCCTCCGACTGAAAAATTCACCGCCTGTCCACTGGTGGGCGAGCACCGCTGGGTGGCCGATGGTCGCCGACCCTCCAAGCACTCCAGGGAGATGAGCTCCAGAGATGAAGAGCACTCCGAGAGCGTCATCGGTTCCGCGAGTGAACAATGGCGGAGCGTTGTCCTCGGTAGTCCGCATAAGCGTAAACGGGAGGAATGCGAACGAACTAAACGGTTGGCTCGCTGTGCCGGCAGTTCGCCGCGTCGAAACTTGATTAGACTTTTAATGACGACGGATATGGCGGCGACGACGACGACGACAACGGAGAGAAGGAGGCGAGTTCCTTGTGCTCTTTAATGAAGTGCTGCTTCACATACTTTCCTCCCTCAATCCCATTCCCTCGCGGCTCGTTTTCCCGAAAGCAACGAGAGTGACTCCTCTCACAGCACGTCCGTGTCCGTACGATTCGTTTATATCTTGCCAAGTTTCCCGAGAAGGAAAAACTTTCCCAAGTCGGCCTGCATAAAGATGGAGAAAACTCATTATCTGCCATCAGCGAGCGAGGCGTCTCTCATAACTCGAGCGAACATGAGATATACCCGTAACCTCAAGCCACTACGAACCACAACAACAGCAGCAACAAGAGCTGAGTGACCGAGCGCTGCGATCGTTGCTCATAATCTGTCAGATGGGCTCACTCGCCACAAAGGGTTGAAGGTTTCCCCCGGATGTAACCGAAACCATAATATCCGACGAGCGTCTTGAGTTGACGCGTTTCGAAGAGATGGTAGTCAATTGAGTCGTCCGTAGACTTCGAATCCCCTCCTGGAGGGACGACTCGCGTCGGAACTCTGACGTAAGTAATTGCTTCTCTTCTTCCCGTCACCGAACTCGGCAGCGCGAACTACCATGCTTTTCCGCAGGAAAAATCTCACGACGTGACGTAATTTTCGGTGTGCGCCTAATAAGTCCAAGATTAGCCGGCTGACGAGAAAAGTGGGCCAAGTCCACTACAACTCCGCCGGTCGTTCTACGCTCCCACTACTCAGGGCGGGAATACCCACTCGAGCCGCTTTCTGAGACGCGCCATGTGATGGAATCCGATGGAATTGAATTTGACACCGTGAAGTCCGGATGGCGAAGTCGATGCGGGCCGAACTCCCGAAACTTCCGGGAAAGTCGCTCGAAATCCGAGCAGCACAATGAACGAGGTGTTGGGGGAAGCGAGGGACCAGATAATGACTTGTTGCTGTTGTTGTTGTTGTTCTGATGTTCGTCTGGAGCACGGCCCCCGAACAGCTGGGGAATTTTTCAACGCTCCTCGAGTCGAAGTAAAACGACGAACTCCTTCTGCGAAATGTCCGAAGGCCGGCGCCCTGCCCGACTTTCGTCCTCCGAGCTCGTCGCGGCCACTTGCGCGGTATCTCTATGATAGGACAGCTTGAGATGCATGCCTCCAGAGTAAGCTTGTACGCAAATGGGAACACATTTTCGTAGATGCGTGCCGTATTACAGGAGTTGGGCGGATGACAGCCAACAACGCGGGTTAGCCAAAATCAGCTAACAGCAACGGAGCGTAAAAGGAATCGGGATGGGATCTTCGTTTGCTTCCCTTGATCGAGTGAGGCGAGCCATAGGGACCAGGACTTTCAATCGGAAGTTTCCGGCCGATTTCTTCCAGTGAGCACTGTGTACGATGTTGGCCTGGTTTCGGCGTGAAACTGCTCGACTAGCGGTGGCTGACCGACGCCAGTTTCCCGAACATTACCTCCGAGCGTCGTCGTTGGCAATGTGATCTCAACCCGGTTGCATTGAGCTCGCCTCTCAAACGTCTCGTCTTCTTCAAATGACCGCGTCCATGTTCCCGCACCGCGTCGGCTGAAGACGGGAGCGAACGTGTGATAAATGTATGTAATTAGCTGATCGAAAATTCGACACGTGAAACCCCAGCCGTCACCCGAACGAACGCATCTGGATCGGCAACAGGAACGCCGGAGTACGCGATCGAGGGAGGATCCGAACCGGTGACGCTTGAACGCACATGATCAGGAATGCGTGTTGTTGAGTCACAGGTTTGACGATGGAGCGAAGAGAGCAAACAAGAGACCAGACGATCCGTCCAAGATGAACAAAAACGGCCCACACGAAGATTAAGTGTAAACCTCCCGGGAGACCTGCTCGGGGAGGATAAGGAGATCTCGTTTGCCTTTGCGACTCACTCAGTTCCAGACTAGGGAAAAAGCGAGTTTGATTCTCTCAACGAACCAAACAGTAGCCTCAGGCGCAAGAGCTGCGTCCCGTCATGTGACCATGGATGCTTTTAGAACCAAGATGCCAGATCCCCGATAGGGCCTCGTCCCCCGCACGCTTCCGAGCAAGGAGAATTTCAACGAAATCGTCTTCCAGAGTCTACGCTACTGAGACGAGTCGTGCGAAAAATCCCGACGAACATTGCTGCACATTTCTCTCGGGGGACTCCAGGAGATCCCGCAGGGGACAGGGTCAGTAAGTCAGGCCCTCTGGTAACACCTTCGCAGCGCGCTCCGGCACCCAAGTCTTCCAATACCCGGCCTTATCGCGTTATTTACTTGGCTCGGCGGGAGACGCTGGTCTGTCGAACAGTGTGATCATCAATTTATTAATAACGAGATTTCTTGGCACCGCCTCCGATGGGGCGACGCGACGTTGCGGAGAGCCCCCGCCGCCTCTGGAATACTGGTCGTGGCTCTCCCCATCGTCGTCGTTGGAGCTGTCATCGCAGGAACGGAAGACGCTGCAGCACGCGGATTCAGGGGGGCTTTGGAGTTCGTGCTCGTGAATTCTGATGGAGTTGTGCAAGCCGCTCGCCTCGCAATCCCGAGCTGCGTCTGGTCGGGATAATACGAGCGATGGAACGCACAGTCAGCGGCTCGCAGGAGGGTTTTCCACCGGAGTAATCCTTGCTTATGCTCTTGCCCACCGCCTGTCAACCCGCCGGGACACAGGTGAGCAGCCGGACGTCCTGCAGCGAGACCAGCCGGCCAAGCACGCGAGCGAGCGCGCTGGCGGACGACCGTCGAATGGACAGAGCGAGTCAAGTTCGCATTCCTCCCTGTTTATTAGGAAGGCGAACGACTGATTGGAGTTTCCCACGGCATGCCGCCGCCGCCGGAAAATGCGGGAAATGCCTTGCGTCGTACGCGATTGTTCTATTTGCGAGATGAAGCAACCGGGTCTGTCCGGCTTTCCCAGAGCGCGCGGGCACCGCCGGCACGGAGGGAATTCCGACCGATGTCGACCGGGTCTTTAGCGTTCCCCATCACGGAGAGAATTCTATCCCCGCAACGCAACAAAGAATTCTATATCCGCAACGCCCGCGAGAGTTCCGATTGATGAATATGTATTCCAGAAGTCCCGTGTTGATTCAACAACCGAATTCAGACAATGAGAGCTCTCTTTGAGTTGCTGATTACGACGAGTTGAGTCCGTTGCAGGACTTCCGCACTATTCGAAACGACCGGCCGCGACAAGTTTCCCAGCTTATGGGGACGGTCTCACGTTTCCGGCGGGGGTGATGTTTTCCGCCGCGTCCCGGCTGCGAACATATGTTTCCCTTCCGTCGCCATATGGGAAAGTTCCCCGGCAGAGATCCCGATTGTTCCCCGAGGAGGAAAAAGTCGGTTCATTGATATGACGGTATCTCGGTGAATCGCCGCGACCGGAGGGTTTTTCCCATTTTCCCGACGAAGATGATGCCTACCTTGATGCGCGGGGGATCCGGAGGGAAGACCTGATCAGCTGAGGCGGCCGATGGCAGGCCCTGATACAGCGCTGGCGGGGTTGGCATGTTCAGATTTGCCATGACCAGCATGCTGACACGGTCGCCGATTTTCACAAGGGCCTATCTGACGATTCACTCTCGGGGGAAAACTCCCACTAGCACCGCCGCGCGAATACACGAGAGCCACCAGCTGTTTCACTGTAGCACCTCAGGTATAGCTGGCGCTCTGTAGAATTTCACTTCAAGCCACACTTGTTGATCACCGGAATTTCTTTTCGTGTCACTGAGTGATGGGCATACGGAATGAGATGCTTCCGTATGCGCGCTTTAGGGTTAGGAGGAGGTGGAGGACAACGAGGTTAGAGTCGACGACTTCGAGCACTCCACATGGCGCTACGGGAACCGACAGGCCACGTGTGAGCTCAGAGCTCGAAGCGAGCTATTCTCTGCACTGCCGCTGTCGAACCAGGAGGGTAAGGGTAGGAAGCGGCCGTCCTGAGAGAAAGGGCGCAACGCAACCGGCGACTGAAGGAAGGAAGGAAAAAGAAAGGAAAGAAGCCACGCTCACCCATCGAACTCCAATCGGAGCATCCAGTGTCATCCGACTCCTCAACGAGGATTGTCATCCGTACGTGATTCGGAGAGCGCGGCTCGTCGACCGATCCAGTCCCCCAATCAGACTATCTCGCATCGAAGTCCGAGGCGATATTCCTCTCTCGGAACTCGACTAATCGAACACTTCCGAACACCGAACATCGAACACCCTCTAAAAATAGGAGCCGTATCCGAAAAGAATTCACGGATGCAGCGAGCTGATCGATACCGAAACGGATAATCGTTTGCGGAATGAGGTTCCGCGATGATGTATTATGCTTACGGGAATATATTTTTCGCGATTGGCCGATGTTTGCACGCTCTGAAAACATTGCCTCGGCTGAGTCTCCTAGTTTCTATCAGTTGTCTGTGCGAGGGACGTCACCAGGCCTCAGCCGATCGATAGTACACACTTCAGGCTGTGCAATATCACTCAGCTCTCGCTGATGGCATCGTTTGACGCAGGCTTGGTAGAGATAAGGTTTAATGACTAGGTATATTCTTTCGGGATGCGGTGAATGGGACGGGGACTTACTCTCGATTTCACCATGTTGGTTAGGAAGCCGAAATAAGTGGAGTCCTTGCGTAACTCGAGCAGGAGAGTTTGCTCGCTTACTACGCTTATTCAAACTGAAATCCGATCCATTTCCCGTCGAATCCAATTATTCGCCATCGATTCAGAAAGAAAGAGGTCTGGAGATATAGTGCGGTTGGAAATGAGCCCTTGCTGGGCGTACTGCAAACCCGACTTGAGCCTCGCGAGACGTTCAGCGCGAGCCACATTTCTGCGCAGCAATGTCCCGAATTCCGCGAAGGACTAGATTCAGACCTCAGAGCATGCGTCGTCAAAAACTACGCCCTAACGGTAATTGATCCCGCGCTCAGATACGGTCTTGGTCACACCTGAGCTCAAATAGTTCCCAGGACTCAGACGCCCCTTGACCCAGAATGAGCGACTTTCAATTTTTTTCCTGAGCCTTCCGGGTCGAGAATTCGAGAGGTCCGACGTTAATTTCCCGCTTGTCCGATGACCGATCGCAGGTATGTATGACGGGAGCCATGCAGAGAGCCATCCAAGAAGCTGATCCTGAGCGCGGACGGGCGACTCGGTGACGGTCCGAGTTGAGTCTTCCGACCGCCCGATTGAGCGGCCTGAACAGCGCGGCCTAGACCACCGAGACGGAAATCTTAGCTAGTAATACAAACATGGAGGCTGAGTGTGTGACTCCCATGCTCATTCCAACTCTAAGCAGAACCAAACGAGGATCTGTATAAACAAGTTCCACGCGGGGAGTCGCTCCCATTTCCTCTCCTTGTCAGATCAGAGCGACAACGCGCTGAATGGACGCGATCCCTCCCGAGCTTCTCAGCTCTCGGAATCAAGGAATCCGAAGCTATGTACAGATCTGAGACGTTCATGAGATCCACCGTTCCCCGCTATGCACTGACAATGAAAAATCCGCGGGAATTCCCTCAGCGCCGACAGATTCCTTCTCAAAGCGCATTTCGAACCGAAGATTTCCGATTCCCCGGCACAGATCTTCTGGATAGCTCTTTTCGAATCGAAATCGGAAACCTTACAGGTTTTCTCCCAGAGACAGGGCTCGTTCCCGAGCCGCGGTTGAAAGCAATGGCTCGTCGAGCTCTCGTATTCAGTCATAATTCTCCCGGGCTGTTCCGCTTAGCGAAATGATGGAAAGCTGAAGGCTCTCGGGGTTTGAGCCTTAATGCACGCTCCGCTCGCGCGAGCTCTTCTTGGCTATCAGTCCGGAGAGAATAGTGTCCCGAAATTGCATCCATCCCTCACCGTTGGAAGAGAGTCTGCGAACTTATTCGCCGCGGCTTCTGGTGTGTCTCGAGGAGAAGAGAGATTCCTGAATTCCGAAAGAAGACCAGATTCTCCATCGGATTTGATCTCTTTTCCCTCCTCGCCGCGGAACGAACATGAGACATCTGCGATGGCTGCGTGGGCGAACGACATCCCCACTCGGTACTCGAGTCGAGGGCCGAGATATCGACCGGAGCAAAAAACACAGAAACAATAGATGTCTGGAGGACTCGCGCGAACAATAGCACATGTTCGGACAAGTTCAAACAGCCTACAGCGCGCAATGAACTTGCACGGCTCTCGTTCCGGATTATTGTCTCTTCTGCCCAAGTAGAATCGGGGACTGGGAGTTTCCCATCGATGATGCGGAATGCAGCGACTCGACGGCCATCGCATTCTTACATCGAGCCACAAAGAAGTTTAGTAACAAGAGCGACCGATTGAACGCGGGACCGGCCGAGCAGCTTGACCGAGCGGCTCGCGAGATCGGCTCTCGGCTTGGCGAAGAATCTTGTCCATCGTTTCTTCCGAGAAGCGAGCATCGCTTCTGAATAATGTTCTTTTGTTTTGCGCTTTCCCTAGTGAACCAGCACAGGCGACAGACTCGAGCGTTTCGCTCGTTGTCCACCACTCGATGAATGACTTCTTGTACTCAGAGTCTCGCACGCGTGCCGGGATAAACTTGCCGCCGATTCGAAAGAGAATACCTCTCCGTCATTCTCTCCCTTTCCTGAATAAGCGCAACGGGATGATCGCCGCATGGCACTTCGGGATAAAAATGTCAACGCTCGCTGTTGTCCGCCGAGCAGCCATCACGATCGGAAGAGACCGCGGAGCGTCGGGAGAGCTCGGTCATCCGTGCCCGAAACAATGGGTTTTATGTTCCCAGGACTCGAATGCCCAAGATGTTGTTTGTTCCATTGATTGGTGGGCATCCTGTATGGGTTTCCCGAAAATTAAACGCATCGTCTCATTGTCATCTCTCTACCGCTACAGTTGTTGGTCCACAACGTGAATGTCTGAGTCCGTAAGAAGCCAAAGACTTCATTCATTCGTTCGCTCACTCACTCAGAGCGCTTACGTCGAGCGTGAGAATGTCTCGGACCAGGCTATTCGCATACCGCTCCTTAAATCTCCGCCTCCCTATATATAATTATAAATATCTCATGGGCGTCGCTGAAAGCAAATCTCGGGCGCGGCCGTCTCAACAGAGGTCGTCACTGAGAACAACAAACGTCGGAAACAGGCGACGTTTTCCTTCTCGGTCCCGACTCATCGCTCCCTCGGATCGGTAGTCGGATGAATCAAGAGCAGAACAACTTTCGTTCCTTTCTGATCTGTCGTCGGACCTGCGCTGCGCAACGTCGACTCGCAGCGTCCGGGGGGAACTCGGTGACGCCTACTTTCAGAGGAAAAAAAACCTTCGCCGCTGTCTGATCAGAGCTGTCGAGCAACAAGACTCGCTTGAGGCCTAGCTGCCCGCCGAGTTGTCTTTGTGTGTGAAGTTTGAAAGCCTCGCTGCAGGTCGGTATCGATAGACGACATCGCCTCGACTAGCCGGTGCTTGGCGAAGCCATTGTTGGCGAGAAATGTCCGACGGTCCTGTCACGGCTCGAATAGGCGACGGCGGCAAAACGACAAACAACGGTTGACCAGTACTCGACAACGACGGCCACGACACTGCAGAATGTGCGAATCAGCAAAGTGTCGATTACCAGCCTTCGTTAGGCGAGCGTTGCGCGGCGTCGTCCTCCTCCTCCGGAGGAGGAACGAAACTCGCCAGGGGAACAACGGTGGCGACAATACTAATCCTTCACAGATTTGCTCCAGTCGGTCGTACCTGGTCCAATAATTAATGAAGCCGAGGCTGTGCTCCGACGCGGGATCGCGCGAGCTGTCATTCGGCGGCATATTTGTAATGAAACATTGTGACTGTGCCCATTCGAACGGTCATCTCTCACTTGCCATTCCTCGCCGACTCGGTCGGGCTGTGGCTTGTCTGTCGTCTGGATCAGGCCGCCAGTGGATGCGGACACACTCACGGAGAGCTCCGGAACGGAGACATATTCTCCTCACGCGGACGTCGGTCGCTCCGGCTGCGCGACGACTAAGGCACGCGTTCACATCACTGGTGAGTGCATCTACGTGAGCGTCATGCCGATTCGGTGGCGTTCGTGGCGGTCAAGCCGGTGAGTCGCAGTTGTGGACGCCCCAATCAAATCATATCGCAGCTCAGTGATTTTGATCCTAGAGCAACACCGAGCGACTGGACCGTTGAGCCCCTTGAGATTTACGGCGTTGGGACACTTGGGACGGAACCGAATACGAGTTTGGGATCGTTCAACCCACCTGGAACGCTCCTCTGCTGATGAACGGGGTCAAACGGGACCGGAAGTCAACTCTCGTCCGTCAGAGATTCCGGGATTTCTGCGAGTAGTTCTCCAACACCGATTATCCGTAAGGGGAGGGCTCATTCCTTTGAGTGAAGCGAGTCTTCTGAAAGATACGCCGGCCACCGAAAGTCGCGGAGTGCGCCCTGCGAGCGTGGGTGCACGCCGCCGAGTCGGTATCAGCACGATGTTTATCCAGAAGGGCGTACTTAGCGTGTAATGTTTCAGCGTGTCGCATTCTGTCGAGTGGCGGAAATCGGGTCACGCTCTGAAATACG